AGCAGTTTCTACCATCTCTGGGTCCGAAGAGGACCCGGAGAGCAGTGGGGGGACAGAATCCTCACCACTCTCATCCGCCTCCTCTGTCGCCAGTGAGCAGCAGTGTGCAGTTCGAGAACGCCACCGAGCCGCCTCCTGCACCTCCTGCCCCGTGGAACCAGGTAAGTGCTGCACAGCACACACAGACCCTGCTACGGGCCGCCTCCCAGAGAGAGCCTCCCGAGCCACGTCCCTGTGTTCCACCTCGCTGCCCCACTCCGGGTACGCCTACAGTCCCTTTGGTCCCGCTTGCACGGTCTCTGAGAGCCTGGTTAGCGCTCCCCAGTCCGTCTCGCTGGCTCATTCGGACCATCAGGCTCGGCTATGCGATTCAGTTCGCCCGGCGTCCCCCCAAGTTTCGGGCCATCCACTCCACTACAGTGAGAGCAGCCGATGCCCATGTCTTGCGTGCGGAGATCGCAGTCCTACTGGCGAAGGACGCGATAGAGCCGGTCCCTCCAGCCGATATGAGGTCAGGGCACTACAGTCCCTACTTCATTGTACCCAAGAAAGGTGGTGGGTTACGACCGATCTTGGATCTGCGAGTTTTGAATCGGAGCCTCCACAAGCTACCGTTCAAAATGCTCACGCAGAGACGCATTTTCGGATGCATCCGTCCCCAAGATTGGTTTGCAGCGATCGACCTGAAGGACGCGTACTTTCATGTCTCGATTCTTCCTCGACACAGGCCGTTTCTGCGCTTTGCGTTCGAGGGTCGAGCATATCAGTACAAGGTCCTGCCCTTCGGGCTGTCCCTGTCTCCCCGTGTCTTCACGAAAGTCACGGAGGGGGCCCTTGTTCCCATGAGAGAACAGGGCGTTCGCCTCCTCAACTATCTCGACGACTGGCTTATACTAGCACACTCTCGAGATCAGTTATGCGAACACAGGGACCTCGTGCTCACGCACCTCAGCCAGTTGGGCCTTCAGGTCAACTGGGAAAAGAGCAAACTCGCCCCTGTGCAGAGGATCTCTTTTCTCGGTATGGAGTTGGATTCGGTCGCACAGACAGCGCGCCTCACAGAGCAGCGCGCTCAGTCGGTGCTGAACTGCTTGAACACGTTCAAAGGCAGGACAGCGGTCCCACTGAAATTTTTTCAGAGGCTCCTGGGGCATATGGCAGCGGCAGCAGCGGTAACTCCGCTCGGCTTGCTTCATATGAGACCGCTTCAGCACTGGCTTCACGGCCGAGTCCCGAGATGGGCGTGGCATCATGGCACTCACCGGGTGGCAATCACACCGGCCTGCCGCCAGACCTTCAGCCCGTGGTCAGACCTCTCGTTCCTTCGGGCAGGAGTCCCCTTGGAACAGGTCTCCAGGCATGCTGTGGTTTTCACAGATGCCTCTGCCACCGGCTGGGGTGCCACGTACAACGGGCATGCAGTGTCAGGGGTGTGGACGGCTCCCCAACTGCATTGGCACATCAATTGCCTCGAGTTGCTAGCAGTACATCTCGCTCTGAGCCGCCTGAAAAGGCCGCTACGGGGCAGGGACGTGCTGGTCCGTACGGACAACACTGCGACCGTGGCGTACATCAACCGACAAGGTGGTCTACGCTCCCGTCGCATGTCGCAACTCGCCCGCCATCTCCTCCTCTGGAGTCAGAAGCATCTGAGGTCGCTTCGAGCCATGTATGTCCCTGGCGTGCTCAACCGTGTGGCCGACGAGCTATCACGAGCTGTGCTTCCGGGAGAATGGCGACTCCACCCCCAGGTGGTTCAGCTGATCTGGAGAGAGTTCGGAGAGGCTCAGGTAGACCTGTTTGCCTCTTCAGAGACCTCCCATTGCCAGCTGTTTTACTCCCTGACCGAGGGAACACTCGGCTCGGACGCACTGGCACACAGCTGGCCCCGGGGCCTCCGCAAATATGCGTTTCCCCCAGTGAGCCTACTTGCACAGACACTGTGCAAAGTCAGGGAGGACGAGGAGCAGGTCCTTCTGGTGGCTCCCTATTGGCCCACCCGGACTTGGTTCCCAGAACTCATGCTCCTTGGGACAGTCCCTCCCTGGCCCATTCCTCTGAGGAAGGATCTTCTGACTCAGAGACGGGGCACCCTATGGCACCCGCGTCCAGACCTCTGGAAACTCCATGTCTGGTCCCTGGACGGGACGCGGAGGTTCTAGGTGACTTACCCCCTGAGGTACTTAACACCATCACTTCAGCACGGGCGCCGTCCACGAGACGTGTTTACGCCCTGAAGTGGAACCTGTTCGTCGAGTGGTGTTCTTCTCGCCGAGAAGACCCCCGGAGATGTTCGATAGGGTCTGTGCTTTCCTTCTTGCAGCAAGGGTTGGAGCGAAGGCTGTCTCCCTCCACCCTCAAAGTACATGCTGCCGCTATTTCAGCTTATCACGACCACATAGATGGCAAAACAGTGGGGAAGCACGACCTGGTCGTCAGGTTTCTTAGGGGGGCGAGACGATTAAATCCTCCTCGACCCCCCTCCATACCCTCTTGGGATCTTTCCCTGGTGCTTCGAGCACTTCAGGATGTTCCCTTTGAGCCTCTGCAGTCAGTAGACTTAAAGCTTCTTTCCATGAAGACTTTGCTACTGGTTGCACTGGCCTCTGTCAAGAGGGTAGGAGACCTGCACGCATTTTCGGTCGACGAATCGTGCCTAGAGTTCGGGCCGGGTGACAACCATGTGGTACTAAGACCCCGGCCTGGCTATGTGCCCAAGGTTCCTACCACTCCCTTCAAAGACCAGGTAGTGAACCTGCAAGCGCTGCCTTTGGAGGAGGCAGACCCAGCCCTGGCTTTGCTCTGTCCCGTTCGCGCTCTGCGTATGTACGTGGACAGAACTCAAAGCATCAGGACCTCAGACCAGCTCTTTGTCTGTTACGGAGGCCAGCAGAGGGGAAAGGCTGTCTCCAAGCAGAGGATGGCCCACTGGATAGTGGATGCCATCGCCTTGGCTTACCAAGCTCAAGGCGTGCCCTGCCCGCTCAGGTTGCATGCACACTCCACGAGAGGCGTTGCATCCTCCTGGGCGCTGGCACGTGGCTCCTCGCTAACAGATATCTGTAGAGCTGCGGGCTGGGCGACACCTAACACGTTCGCTAGATATTATAGCCTACGTGTAGAGCCGGTCTCCTCCCGTGTTCTCACCCTAAACGGGTAGAAGCACCGAGAGGCCCGGCTCTGTCGGCTTGCTGCACCCTACTGTGCACCCTTATTGCTCCAGAGTGAAAAACCTGTTGAGTCCTCCAAAAACCCCTCGGCCCGGACATGGCGGAGCGTCCAGGTGCCAGGCCTTTATCCGCTGAATCCTTGAGAACCGGATCTGGGCTGGGTTCCATATGTGTGACCCTACGGGGATCCCATATGTGTATATTTTCCACGGCTGCTCCTAACGGAAGCCCGTGTCTTTCCCTTGGGCTAAGTCACCCACTATCTCATATGTAGTACAGCCTTCGGGCTAGTCCATATGTATTCCCCACATAACTCCTTGAAGTAAGTGGCTTCCGCAGCGTCCTCCTTCCTAACTGAAGGGCACGCTTTCCCAGTGTTATCCAATAATCTCACTGTATGGGTTATTACGGAACAACAGTGACAGATACACTCTGTGTGTAGCCTCCTCCTATCGTCCTTCTAGGCAAGAAGGTGTAGAGGCTTGCATGGGGCGCTGGATGGGGTGCAGCAGCTGTGGCGCTTTGGTAGGGATTCCTATTGGTCAGTCTGACCTACGTTGTAGTGACTGACCGATAGGGAACGTCTCGGTTACATATGGTAACCCTCGTTCCCTGAGGGAGGGAACGGAGACGTAGGTCCCGTCGCCACATCTGCTGCCGCCCGCTGGGGCGGCCAGCTTTTTCAGGTTTGGCTCCTCAGCAAAAAACTAGTGTGCAATCATAACAGCTGCTGTTAAATACCCGCGCTGACGAGGACGCGCAGCTGATGCAAATGATTGCATGCCAATGTGCATTGGCTTGTTTTAGTTTCACTCGAAGTAGATTGGCCTCTCTAGCGAGATTCCTATTGGTCAGTCTGACCTACGTCTCCGTTCCCTCCCTCAGGGAACGAGGGTTACCATATGTAACCGAGACGTTTCTATTTTATTATTAAAAATAATATATTATTTTATGACAGATAGTTAGATACTGATTGTTTTTGTTTAATAAAATAATATTAATATATTTAGTATATTATATCTTTTATTATTTTAGTTTATGTTATCATTACAACAATAATTCTACCTTTTCTGACAGAAACTGATTAATCATATGTTTAATAAAAAAATTGTGAGATATTAAAATATACATTTTTATTTTAATATTTATTTTTTTAATATACAATACTGCTTTTTGAGGCATATATGGGTTATTGTTGTGTATAGTAAAATGATATATTACAAATATATAATATTTTATTTAGTTTTTTTTTATTAAAATATAATAATGCTGCTTTTTATGATAGACAGATTATTATTGTTTAATAAACTAATATTAAATATAAATATATATATCATTTTTTCATATTTTAGTTTATGCTGTTTTTTAACTACAAGAATACAATATTTATTATTATCATTTCCAATATTTTTTGTTGTTGTAATTGCCGTTTGCTGTTATTTTTGCATATTTATTTGTTTGCAAATTTATATAGTATATATAGTTTTCTAATTGTTTCTGACTTGAGAATGAATTAATGGTATTTAAGTTATAAAGAGCAATTATCAAACCAATATATCATAACCAAAAATACTTTACCTGCTGTTTGTCAGACTCAATTTTTATTTTATTTTTATTAATAATTTTTGATTCTATAAAGCAAAATTTGTCAGTGTAAGTTTTCCCCGTCAGTGTTTGTGTGTCGCATGTGTGAACAGATCATGAGCGGTTCATATCTTTATTAGTGTCAGAGAGGTTCTGGTGTGATGTTTTATTCTGTGTGGGTGTTTAAACTCTGTGTCTGGAAGGCAGCGACTGACGTGTGTGTGTGTGTGTGTGTGTGTGTTTCAGCTGTAAAGCGCACAGGAACCTGAACTCCTCGTTTGCCATCATCATGGGTTTGAACACCGCCGCCGTCAGCCGGCTCAACCAGACATGGGAGGTAAAACACTGACTCACACACATGCTCACCCTGTACTCTACTAATAATGTGTTTCTCCATGCTGAAGGTGAACAAAGGCAAAATCACACAATATACAATGATGTTTAATATACAGTTTGAACCAACCAGCACATAGTGAGAAAAATAGAAACCAATTGAGGCTTTATTGCTTGTTGCTCGCTTGTTGAGTTAACGATACAAAAGTCAGCATGAAACCGAAGCTGTGAAAGTGTTTTCTTCCCTATTGGAACAAGAACAAATGTGGGCGGGGCTTGATTTTGTCCGTGAGGAATTGATTGGATGGTTGTGGTTTGCTATTGGTGGATCTCATGTGAGTGACAGGTGGCCCCGCCCACATCATCAGAGAAGAGATGGGAAGTGATTCTGATTAAAAATCACGAGGCACATTCATTTTAAAAAAAAAGAGATGTGCACGGATGAATAATTTATAATAGGGCCTACATATTGCAATACTCCATTAAAAAATAAGAATTACCAATTTTGATTTCATGGTGACTTTAAACGAGGACTTTAAACTTTATTCAGTTCCTGTTCACCAGTTTCTGTCGCTCTCTGTCCTGCAGAAAGTTCCTGGAAAATTCAAGAAGCTTTTCTCTGAACTCGAGCTGTTGACGGTAAGTCAAACCCAGATACATAAACATAAAACAAACATAAATATGGTTGATTTTGATTTGATGTCAACTTTATGATCATCTGCCTTCCTCCTCAGGATCCATCCATGAATCACAAAGCCTACAGAGACGCTTTCAAGAAAATGAAGCCGCCCAAAATCCCCTTCATGCCTCTGCTGCTGAAAGGTGAAGCACAGGAAGTGATGTCACCAATACTCAAATGTGTTTCTCGGTCTCGTAATGTCGTGATCTCTGTTGGTTTTCAGATATCACCTTCATCCATGAGGGAAACAAAACATTTCATGATAATCTGGTGAATTTTGAGAAGCTGGTGAGTGTCAGTGATAGACAGATGTGTTATCTTCATTGAGACGTGTTGTTGATGTGTGTGTGTGTGTTTTCAGCACATGATAGCCGACACCGTCCGACTCATTCGCCACTGTCAGACGGATCAGACAGGTCAGTCCCTCCTGTTGAGATCATTTACATATGGCATGGCTTTTTACAAATCAAAACGAAAGCATCACATGGTCGATATTCCATAAGGTGTGATTAATATAAACACACATTATGCCATAATATCAAGTGAATTTTTTAATTTCAGAAACTGTATTTTTATACAGATGTTTTGCTCTAAGTGTTGTAATTCTGAGTAATTGTGGGAAAAAAACTTGTGTATTTGGTTTAGTGAAACATTATTATCAAAATAACATTATTAACCAGTTACCAGCATTTAAAAATAACGTTTTAATGTTTTCACTCTGAAACAATTTTAAAGCATTTTGGCTGCTGGTTTTGTTTCTTGAACTATTTCTAATCTCTGGTTATAAACTATAATACCGATACTGGACTGCAATAGTATCCGCCAATCTTAGTGTTTTATATCATTATTATTTTATTATGATTATTAAAACAGTACAAATTTATCAGCTATCATATTAGTGATCAGCCATAAAATACACATTTACATTTTATATTAAATAAAAGGTATAAATAAAAATAAATAATTATTATAAATATAATAATACATGTATTTATTATCATAAGCTGCTAATTATCAGCTATCTGTATATCTGTAATTATTTAGTTACTTTAGTTTGATTTTATTTTTAAAATATAATAATGCTGTTTTTATGACAGACGCAGGTTATTTTTGTTTAATAAAGTAATATTAAATATATTATAAATATATATCATATTTTTTGCATATTTTCGTTTATATGCTGTTATTTAACTACAAGAATGCAATATTTAATATTTTTATTATTTCCAAATAATAAAAGTTTTAGAAAGTTTTCTCATTGTTTCTGACTTCTGAGAATAAATTTATGTTATTTAAAAGTTATAAAGAGCAATTATCAAACATCAACCAAATCATAACCAAAAATACTTTACATTTCTAATCTCTAGTTATAAACTATATTAATAAATATATACAATATTCATCAGCTATCATATTAGTGTTCAGCCGTAAAAATATGCATTTGCATTTGAAATTAAATAAAAGGTAATAAATAAAAATGATTATAAATATATAAATAATAATAAATAAAAATTATTATAAATATAAATATATAAATAATAATAAATAAAAATGATTATAAATATAAATATACCATTATTATTCTGATTATTAAAACAGTACAAATTCATCAGCTATCATATTAGTGATCAGCCATAAAATATACATTTACATTTTAAATTAAATAAAAGGTAATAAATAAAAATAAATAATTATTAAAAATATAATAATACATGTATTTATTATCATAAGCTGCTAATTATCAGCTATGTGTATATCTGTAATTATTTAGTTATTTTAGTTTTTTTATTTTTAAAATATAATAATGCTGTTTTTATGACAGACGCAGGTTATTTTTGTTTTATAAAGTAATATTAAATATATTATAAATATATATATATATATAATATTTTTTGCATTTTTTCGTTTATATGCTGTTATTTAACTACAAGAATGCAATATTTCATATTTTTATTATTTCCAATATTCTTTGTTTTTGTAATTGCTATGTCTGCGGTGTTTTTAAATTTAAATCTAATCAAAATTTATTTTCAAATTCGTTTTAGAAAGTTTTCTCATTGTTTCTGACTTCTGAGAATAAATTTATGTTCTTTAAAAGTGCAATTATCAAACCAAAATATCAACCAAATAGAAACAAAAAATACTTTACATTTCTAATCTCTAGTTATAAACTGTATGTTAATAAATATATAAAATATTTCAGTTATCATAATAGTATCGGCCAATCTTAGTGTTTTATATGATTATTATTCTGATTATTAAAACAGTACAAATTCATCAGCTATCATATTAGTGTTCAGCCATAAAAATATGAATTTACATTTTAAAATAAATAAAAGGTTTTATTATATATATATATATAAATAATGAGCAGACACTACTAATTATCCGTATCAGGAAAAATGTCTGTATTGATGCATTGATAATTAAGTTCTAGTTAATATCTCAGGTCTAGCTCTATGAAACGCAGCAGTGTAGCATCTCTGTCTTCATTAGAGCGGAGGAGAATAACTCTATTAACTCCATTGATTTCTCCACTTCCCAGGAAACGAGCTTTCCCCGTGTGACAGTGCCGAGGTGCGCTCGAGCGTCCATTACCTGCACATCATTGACAATCAGCAGACTCTGTTTGAGCTGTCCCACAGACTGGAGCCGCGAGTCTGAGAGAGAGAGCGCCGCCTGCTGGACGGTCACACACTCCTCGCGTACAGGTGGAGTCTTCAGCGGACACACACACACACACACACCGATTCCAGCTCCCAGCACTGACTGAACGGACACTATAGTGGACAGAGTGTGTTTACTCCACCGTCACAGTACATCAGTCTGACTGAGCACACGGGTTGTGTTCTCTTGATGTGAATAAATGTTTATTTCTTAATGTCAAAAATAGATCATCGAAAAGTCGATAAAAGCTTTTTTTTTTCTGTGCACAGGAAAAGTGTCAACCTTTCAGCAATGTTTTGTTGTACTGGACCATATTTATAGGCTATGTGAATTTATTACTTAGTCAAGTTAGGGCTGGGCGATATTATAATTCATATTTTAATTAAAAAATATATATATTTAAAAAAAAATCATATTTATATATTTGCTCTGAAATAGATTTGAAGGCTGATTTCTTTTTAGTAATTCCAACCAAATAGAAATTGTTGCCAGTTAGATTGCCAATTATATGAGACATGATGCAAACGAATCAGAGATGTGAATCACTTCAATTGATTCGTGGAAAAGAATCAAACTTTTCACTGCTACTGAAGTCAAGATCAGAAACTCAATGGCCAAATAAAATCATCACAATGTTGCTTCATTTTATAAATTTGTGATATTTTATAAACAAAAACCATATCGCCCGGCCCTACAGTGCAAACTCAGACTGAACGAACAAACACAACTGGTGTCAAAGGTCATGATGATGTCATGTAGAGCCAAGTACTCACTTTATACTGAATCTTGTTATGATGTTGAGTTTTTTCATTGAATTGTTTCATATTATTTAATGTTTCCAGTGTGAGCTGGATCCAGATGTGTCTTTCCCACGACACGCCAGTGACTGAAGCTTCTCGTAAGAGTCGTTTTTACCGTGACCTGACAGTATTATTTCACAGTCATTATGGAGGCTCTTGAAGATGTTCGTTCTGTGCAGTTTTTGCCCTTCACTCGCTCTCTGCCGTTGCGTTTGGATACCGTTGTTTATATCCGCACTTCTCAAGCTCTTGTGTGAAACTCATTTCCGTTTTAAAGAGGTTTTAAAGTGACATGCATGCATATTGTATTTGCACTTACATCTTTGTTTGTACATTATCGTGTAAGAATGTATATACGTTTGTAAATGTAAAGAAAAATAAGTTGAGTCGTTTGCAAACACACGTTTCTGTGCCAAGCACTATTATGGGAGAGCAATGCAATATGAGGAGATTTTAATATTGTGAAATGTTTTATAAAAGCCTTGAACCCCCGATCTGTTCTGACGGTGCGATCCAGCGCACATAACTAAACTTCTTCAATGTGATTCGATGTAAAAATCTACGGAAGCGTATTGCATTCACTTGAGGGAAATAAATCTACTCTGTTTTTCTGAATTAACGAGTTAATATCTCAGAATTACGAGATAATCTTTCATGGAAAAAGTTTTTGCTCTGTTGTTCTGAATTAACGAGTTAATATCTCAGAATTACGAGATAATTTTTCATGGAAAAAAGTTTTTGCGCTGTTTTTCTGAATTAACAAGTTAATTATCTCAGAATTACGAGATATTTTTCATGGAAAAAAGTTTTTGCTCTGTTTTTCTGAATTAACGAGTTAATTATCTCAGAATTACGAGATATTTTTTCATGGAAAAAAGTTTTTGCTCTGTTTTTCTGAATTAACGAGTTAATTATCTCAGAATTATGAGATAATTTTTTATGGAAAAAAGTTTTTGCGCTGTTTTTCTGAATTAACGAGTTAATATCTCAGAATTACGAGATAATTTTTCATGGAAAAAAGTTTTTGCGCTGTTTTTCTGAATTAACGAGTTAATATATCAGAATTACGAGATAATTTTTTATGGAAAAAAGTTTTTGCGCTGTTTTTCTGAATTAACGAGTTAATTATCTCAGAATTACGAGATCATTTTTCATGGAAAAAAGTTTTTGCGCTGTTTTTCTGAATTAACGAGTTAATAATCTCAGAATTACGAGATAATTTTTCATGGAAAAAAGTTTTTGCTCTGTTTTTCTGAATTAACGAGTTAATATCTCAGAATTACGAGATAATTTTTCATGGAAAAAAGTTTTTGCGCTGTTTTTCTGAATTAACGAGTTAATAATCTCAGAATTACGAGATATTTTTTCATGGAAAAAAGTTTTTGCTCTGTTTTTCTGAATTAACGAGTTAATATCTCAGAATTACGAGATAATTTTTCATGGAAAAAAGTTTTTGCGCTGTTTTTCTGAATTAACGAGTGAATTCAGTAAAATTATCTCGTAATTCTGAGATAATTAACTTGTTAATTCAGAAAAACAGAGTCGATTTTTTTCCTCAAGTGAATGCAATACGCCTCCGTAAAAATCTGAGTGGATTACATCGCTTGATTTCCTTTGATTTCTCGATTTGTTCAATTAAAGGGAATTCTAGATTTGTAAATGAGCAGCTCAGGAAAGAGTCCGAGTTTTTCGGCCACAGACGTCTGATTTTCTACAGTGTTTGTAGAATCTGAACCTCATGTTTCCACACTGCCACACAGACACAGAAGAGCGAACATCTCACCTGAATGTCCTGTGATAGACCACACTGAGCTTTTGTTCATATATATCTCTATAGCACTTGTGTTCTTCTGTGTTTGAAGGGATGTTTCCAGCAGAACAGAGAGAGTCGATGATAAAACACTGGCTGTCCCATGATTCGGTGAATCTCACAAAAAATGTCTTGGGTTTCGCATTTCACCCCGAGGAGTAATACATAACAAATGAAAAACATCCATTATTTTATTTATTGTTTACATTTTATTTATTTTATCCAATTAAATTCAGTACAACAAATACTACCATGATGTATGCTTCAAAATTTTAATACGTTTTAGTTATTATTTTTATTATTTGCAGTAAGCGAACTGCACGGTGTGTTTAAATGTGCTTAATTGGCATGAAAATAATGTCACTATGCGAGGAAAAAGTTTAATTAGGTACTTAAAAACCTATTTAATATTTATGTGATTATAAAATAGTATGAATCATATTTATTCAGTTTTGATTTTTTTTATAAAAAAAGTTTTTCTGAATTAACGAGTTAATTAGCTCAGAATTACGAGATAATTTTTCATGGAAAAAAAGTTTTTGCTCTGTTTTTCTGAATTAACGAGTGAATTATCTCAGAATTACGAGATTTTTCATGAAAAAAAAGTTTTTGCTCTGTTTTTCTGAATTAACGAGTTAATTATCTCAAAATTATGAGAGCAAAAACTTTTTTTCCATGAAAAATTATCTTGTAATTCTGAGATAATTAACTTGTTAATTCAGAAAAACAGAGTATATTTTTTTTCCTCAAGTGAATGCAATACGCTTCCGTATATATATATATTTTTTTATTATTATTGGGGGGTGAAATATGACCCACAAGTTTATCATCTCATTTTTTTACCTAAGACTGGTCATAACTTTAAGGAAGATAAGAAAGTAGATTGGACTAGCCCTAACTAATTGCTATTTGGTCAGACTAGATCTTAAGATAGAGTCTTAACTTGGTCCCTTATGACAGTTTTTGTGAGATTCTCTCGGCTAAATGAATTATTTCGAGGTTTGCTGTTCTCCTAAAGCTTGTGGATAGTGGCTGATCTTGTGTTGAAACTGGACTGTCCTGCCGTTGCCAAAAGCAGGACAGAAAGCCACTGAGATTATGGACATTTATGGGGTGTTGTTGTAATCTGCAAATGTAAATATAGATATGCTCTGAATATAAGACTTAATGTTAAAAAAACACAGAGATTCAAAGCAATATATTTACAGTCTGTTGCTATAGAAACCACACACGTCTTTTCTATAACCTGCATTTTTACAATAATGTTTAAAGGCAAATGTCAATAAAAGATTTATGTAACATTACATGCTGTCTTAAATGAATTATTGTAATTATTTTTTTCTATTTTGTGAATTCTGTCATTAATTCCTCTCTCTTTTGTTTGCATAATCCAGCTTTATTTATGTTTAAGAATAATGCTTCTGGGTCCTTTATTAATCACTAGTTCGTAAAAGGGGTAAAGGACGGAGCATGTTTTAGTCTGAAAACAGCAATGAACACTTTAAGTATTGAGCAAAAATGTTTTATCCTTATCACAGCACAACCTTCAGAGCTCCATCCATCTATACACACACACACACACACACAGTACATTAAACACTTAAACACAGATCATCAACTTTGTTTTCTTGAGATTAGGAATAACTATGGAGCACATGCCCATGAAAGTGTGACATCAGTAGCGAACAGCCAATCACATGCTGTGAAACAGGGAAAGTGCAAATCACTTCTCTCTTCTGCAGAATATTATAGGATTGAAAAATATTACGAATTTAAATGCATTTACACGGCAAGAAGAAAAGAGTCGTCTTTTAAAGAGGATATCTTGTTATATCAGTGCAAGTAAAAGTGGTGAAGTTAGTTTATATAGTTGGTAATTGATGAGATAGAAAAAGTTTTTTATTTCTCTTGTTTGTTTCATCATCTAAAAAAAAAAAATCACACCGTTTTGTGTCTGTTCCTTTAAATGCAAATGAGCTGCTGCTCCCGGCACTGGGGGCGGAGCTTCAAGAGCTTGTGTCCTTTTATCCTTTTATGTTCAAACCGGAGTTGGACAATGGTGGAAAGACCATAGACAGTATAAGAAGTGGACAGAGCCATCTCATTGGAACTCAGTTGAGACAGTTGAAGCCCATTTTTAGCGATTTTTGAGCACTTCCGTCCCTGACGCGCAGACTCAAACCGACTCAAACTAAGCTTGATGACGTGAGCAACCTGTCTGACAGACGTGAATCTTCTAGTGACTGTGCCAAGAGGAATCTGAATCATTCCCTTCCGAAACGTGCAGAGCCGGAGATCGTGAGTATTAGCTGTCCATGAGCTCGCAGCAGGAGCAACTTTACAACTCTCTATGGGCTTCTCCCTTGACTTTATGTCTCCACGTCCCCCCGATTGCGCGCGAGCTTCTACTTCTGTCTATACGG